ACTCCCAGAATTCCTCAGCCAGCAAAGCTGGCTGAGGAATTCTGGGAGTTGAAGTCCACAAGTCTTAAAGTTGCCAAGGTTGGACACCCCTGATTTAAATGGTTTCATTTAATACATGAATTCACAGACACTCATTTAATATATGGACTCACTCATTCATTTCACTCTTGAATGAGAACTCAAAAAAACTGCCCAGTCAGTCCTTATCATGCATGCACAACATCACATGCATGCCCGACATCGCTGACTGCGTTCTTCCCTGCCCAGTCGCTCCTTAAGGTGTTTCTTTTTCCCCCACCTCCTGACAATCAGCTCTTCCTATGATCAGCTGTGCCAGGATTCCCCCTCTGTCTTTCTGCTTCACCCAGGAGGCCTCCCTGACGCCCAGAAAGGCAAAAAATTGAGACAAGGGGGCACAGTCCCTCCTCCGCCCCCCTGCACTCCACTTTTTGCCTTCCTGGGCCCCAGGGAAACTTCTTGGGAGCAAAAACTCTCCCCCAAGAGGCTTCCCTGAGGCCCAGAAGGCCCCAAAATGGAGCATGGCGGGTGCTGCAAAAAAGCCATACCCACCCACTCACATGGCTACCTAGCCATGCCCACAGAACTGGTAGTAAAAATTTTTTGAATCCCACCACTGATAGGTACCATAGCGGTAAATGCTGCTGTCCTTATGCCTACCACATAAAGCCTTGATTCATTAAGAAGACGGATTGGCAGAATCACCTGATTTTGTTTCTCTGCCTTCTCATCAAACATTACTCAGAGGAGAAACACGCCCTGAACATATATATTCATTAATGTAGCTAGAGTATAAAGTAAATTGCTTTGAGTGCAGTTATCTGACACTGTTAACCTCAAAGAAGGAGATTCAGTGGTGGGCTGCTGCTGGTTGAACAACTGGTTCGGTGAGCGCATGCATAAGGTGCTTGCACGCAGCGCTAAAAATGGAGCATTTAGAAGCTCAGCTGCTTACCTTCCAAGTCAGGAACGGTAAGTAGAACAGCAGGGGGGGAGGAAATCAGCTGTGCCGCATTATTGAGATGAGCTACAAAGCAGAAAATAAAGGACAGGATAGGGCAGGAGCGGGTGGGCGGGTCCAGCTGATTGTTGGAACTGTCAGTTCATGTGAACCGGTCCAAACTGACAGCATCCCACCATTGAGGAGATTGAAGAACAGCTTATATCAGCTTTTAATTTATTTAATATTTTTCCTATGCTGTTGTAATCCAGTTGACATTCAGCAGCTTACACCAAAACAATGCTATTCCAAAAGAACATTAAAGTTGCCTTCAAAATCAGCCTAAATAGTAGCTGACCAAAGTAGGGAAAGTTCTTTCACGGTATCAGTAGCAGAGAAAGAAATAACTCTTTTTTCCACTTCTTCACCATGTACGCTTTCTCCTCACTTCTGCCACCCCTGGACAGCTGCTATTGAGGCTGATCCAGGTAAAGATGAGAACTTGGTTTGAAAGATACTGTCCTCTTTGTCCAAAGTAAAATATGTTGGCCAGAGACTGAAGAAAAGAGACCGGCCTATACCAGCTAAAGTGAGCAATTGATGTTAAGCTGGCTGTACTGCTAACAGAATGGTCAGCAAAATGCCTTAGATAACATTTACAGCAAAACTATGTGCATTAAGGTGAAACATGACTTTAACCCTGGAATAGATAAGGACAGGTGGGATTCAGCCGGTACAGACCAATTTGGGTGAAGTTCCGGCAATTAGTTGGGCCCACCCACCTGCCCTAATCTGTCCTATATTCCTTTGTTTTTCACCTCAGCTGATTCGTGTGGCACAATGAATTGCTGCGGATCAGCTGTTTTCACTCACAGTGGCTGCAGCAGAAGGTAAAGTTTAGCTGAAAAGGGGGTGTTTTGAAGTTCTGCATGTGCAAAGCGCACACTCACCAAACCGGTTGTTACACTAGTGGAATCCCACCCCTGGATAAGAATGGCTTCATGCTGACTCATGGGCTTGAGATCAGACAAAGACATTGTTCTGAAAGATTGCTGTGATATGCTTGTGCTGCAGATAGACACAGATGAAGAAAAACTGAAAGACAAATCTACTAGGATAATTTCAAATCAAAGAGAAGGAGTTTTTTTTGCCCCAAATAACTTTTTTTTGCCCAACAAAATTATTATGGAGTTAGGAACAGTTATTTATTTATTTATTTATTTGTAAATTTTATTTGAGTTTTCACAAAGAGAAAAAAAATACAAATAAAACATCTTTTTTGAAAGCAGCATAATCCCGGGTTACATTTCTTCGTACAGACACAAATTCAGGTTCATGCTCATTTTTATATTCTATTCCATATCTTATTACTATTTTACATTTTCTGCATAGCTTCTCCCCTCTTTTAATTTTCACAATTTTATTTTAATTATCTCATCTCAATTCAAATCATTGTATTTATATTTTTTGTCTGTCCTGTTTCAATTATCTATTATCTTTTCTCATTAAACAAAATTTCTCCTGTAGTTACTGATTGGAGTATGACGCCTTTATATCTTTTCCCTAAAGTTGTAACATTCAATATAATACATAACTTCCATTCAGATTCTGCTTGGTACATTCTTAAAATACACACAGTATTCTTAAAAAAGAAAAAAATTATAAATGTATATAATTAAAACAACATTCCATTCCAATTCAATTCTATCATTAATATTAATATTCATTAAAGTCTTAACATCTTTAACATTACTTTTCAATTAAATATCATACTTCTATGGGAACAATTATAAGCTTTCCATAGTTAATTCCTCCCCCCCTTCACTTATATTTTATAAAACATTAACTAATTAAAATGTTCCCGTTCCTTCCTAATTCAATTTTCTCATTTATTTTACTTCACTTATTTTATTCACAAACATTTCACTAAATTACACTAACTATTTTATCCCTCATTTTAATCATACGTTGTTTCCAATTTTCTAAAGTTATTTCTATTACTAACATAACAATACAATCTTATGTACCTTTACAGAATCCCTTT